TCCAGGGCAACCAGTCCTTCCCATCCTTCCAGTGTGGAGAGGTAATTTAGGGCCACAGGCCTGGCTACCACCCCCCTCCCTGCAGCGGTGCTAGTGTCCACTCTCCTAAGTGGGGGTAGGGTAGGAAAGCAGATAGAGAAAATCCTGGGTTCAAGTCATAATTCAGCCACTGAGCAACTGCACTGAGCAACTGCGTGACACTTGGCCAACCCACACTCCTCTGCGCTTCAATTCCCCCAAGTACATTCATTGAGGAAGTGGGTGGACCAGACCAGAGCTCTTAGCTGGGACGTCCATAGACTGCACTTTCTGGGAGTCTGTGACACTCCCCAAACTGAGCATCCATCCGGTTAGGGAGAAAGGGGGTCTTTGGCTTTTCTCCGCTTCTCAAGCTCTCCTTCCGCTGCCTCTCTTTGCTTTCCAAGTGCTTGGGTTCCCATCCTCCCAGACCCCCTTGCCTACTGGCCTCAAAAGTGATCCGTGAGTGGCGCCGCACAGCCAAGTCCGCGATGTTGACTCGGTTGAAGATTATATTCTCCATGCACCCTCGGAAATTATGTCGATAGGCGAGGTTCTTGCGTGCAGCACCCACCAGACCCCCGATGAACATCTGTAGGCAGGGTGGGAAGGGAGATTAATCACCCCCACCCAAGCACACAGCCTTCCTCACACTCCCAAGCGCCAGGCCAAGCTTCATAAAGGACTAGAAACACACGTTTCCCTAGTGTCTGCATTATAGCTGAAGTCTGGGTTCAGGCCCTGATTCCCCCACAAACTGGCTGTATACCATCAAACAAGTCACTTAACCTGTTTGGCTCACTTCTGACTGGGGCCACAGTCTTAAATTCCAGACTTGTGGGAGGATCCAATTTTCTCACCTTATCTGATCCCCAAAATCCAGATTTCTAGGCCTCGTCTCAGTAGCTCTGTGGTAGCACCTGGGAACCTGAATACTAACAACAACAACAAAAACCCTAGCCCTTCTGGTGAGCAGCAAGTTTGCCAAGATCTGCTAGGAAATTTGGGAACTGGAAACATCCTTACCTCCAAGAGCAAGAAGTTACTGCCCACAAGGGGCGCCTCTCCCTGCTCACCTCATTGTCCAGGTTCAGCCTCTCAAAGTCGCCATTGAGCAGGAAGCGCTGCACGTAGCCATCCAAGGTGAAGTTGGCATCCCGGCCAAATCGGTCCACACGCACATAGTGCCAGTGCTGGTCATTGAGAACGCCTCCCGCGGTCATCGTCGTGTGGCCTGGCCTTGGCTGGATGGGGCTGCTGCCTGAGGGTGGGATGCGGCATGGTCAGACCTTGACCCCAGGGAACCCCAGCAAGTCCTAGCCCCCAGGCAAAGAAGGCAGCCAGGGAGGGCAGCCGCTGGGCCTGAGTCTGGGATGGAGTGGGAGCCATGGTGAAGCCTGTCATTTAAGGTGAGCCATATGACCTCTTGGGAGCTCTGGTGGCATAGTATGTAAGGCATTTGACTGCTAACCAGAAGGCTGGAGATTCAAATGCACCAGCCACTCCTCCAAGGAAGCTGGGCAATCTCTTTGATCCTCCCTCTCTGATAACTGCTTCTATCTACTTCACATTAGTGTTATGAGAAGACAATGAGATTAAAAAATAATAACTCTTTATGTTATTAGTTGCCATAGATTCAATTCTGACAGTCTTAGGGACGTGCCTTGTCCCAGGTCACACAGCTAGTAGGTGACAGAGCTGAGACTGGAATCCCGTTCTCTTGACTCCAAGTCGGGCACTTTGTTAGAACCAAACGCTACAAGAAAAAGGCGGTGTGGCTCAGATACTAAGGAAGGGGCAGATTAGGCGTGGGCGCAGCAGCGCGGAGAAGGTACGAGGAGGAGGCGTGGCAGAGTCTCAGGGGTCGCGGCCGCGTCGCCAAGCTCACCCAGGCTCATGTGCAGCAGCAGTTGCGCCCCCTGCAGCTCGAGCGTCACGTAGTCGCCCTGCGCCCCCTCGGCGTGCAGCAGGAGCCCGTCTTTCTCCTCTGTCTTGAAGCTGAAAGCGAACACGTCCCACAGGCTCCGGCTGACCCCTCGCGGGAAGCGGTACGAGATGGCATCGTCGCCGTCAAAATAGAGCACGTCCGACTCTGCGCGAAGGGCGGCAGGTGGGCTCGGGTCAGGAGGTTGCGGATCACCAGGACCCCCTCCACGACCGTCCCCGCCCCTTACTGTAAGGGCAGCCATAGAGGCCTAGCCTCAGGCCGATCTTGCCGCGCGGGTTCCAGGCCAGGGGCACGATGCGGATGTAGCGGGCGGTGAAGTGGTAGTGCAGGTCATGGCGCACCACCGCCGACTCATTCACGTTACCGAAGAAGGTCTGCGGGGGTGGGAGGAGGAAAGATCCACCATCTGCTTTGTCTTCCCACAACCCCCGCTCTACAGTGTCACACACAGCCAATCTCGACTTCCGGAAAGCAAACTCTCCACGATCTTCTCTGCCTCCACGGCTTTGCGAACACAAGTTTCCCTAGCCTGGAGTGTCCTCTCCCACTATTCTAACCTTTCCTTAAAGAGCAACTTAAATGCCCCCTCCTTTGGGAAGCTCTCCCATATTTCACCCTAAAGTCTGTTTAACCTTGTGATTTCGGAGTGCCTTTCACACACGGTGAACAGACAGTCTTCCTGGACTGAGTCCTCAGAATGGTGGCACTGCTCCTCATCTGTGCCCTCAGATCGCCCCCACCCCCGCCAATGCCCAGCTCAGGGTGCCTAGTAGAGGGCACTCCCCAGGTGTGCACACAGAGGCGCCCAGAGTACCGCGTTATGCCCTCGCTGGTAGAACGGCGTCCAGCTATCCACGCGGTCGCCATACAGCAGCATGTAGCGTGTGACCCAATCCCACGAGTTAAAGGAGCCCTGCGTGGCCACGGCCCGGATCCGGTGCTTCTTCATTAGGTCTATCTGGAGCCAGGGATTCGGGTCCCCTATCCGAGGCGACCATCCGCTTATGCCTGTAGAAGAGGCAGAGGCTTTCGCAGTCAGCTAGCTCCCTTCCTTTCCCCATCCGCAGCCCTCGGGAGTCCCCTACCCCGCTGCGGTGCGCTCTCGCTCACCATGCAACCTGGCGAAGCGCGGCGCTGTGAAGAGCCCATAATAGGAGGAGGCGCCCAGCGAGCGCGCGTACAGAGGCCCCACCAGCTCCTCGTCGCAACCGTCTGGGGAGGGAGAACGGACACTTTGATCAGAGCCGCCCCCACCCACCCACAGGCCCTTCCAAAGCCGGGCCCACTAGGCAGCCAGAATTGCCCTTTCTCTGCCCCCCAGTGGCAGACCCAGACCTACCTAAAGCCACCTACTCGATCGGCTGCAGCAATAGTTGCACGCTCAGGAGAGGCTGCCTTCTCCTTCTGGGGAATCCCCAGGCTAGACCTACTGACCCAACGACCCAAGGCCAGACCTTCCCTAGCTCAGATCCTGCCCTTGTACCAGCTTGGGGGCATTATTGCCCTAAACTCAATCCCAAACCTCAGCATCTTCCAGACACCACCCCAGCCTAGCCCCAACCTTAACGTCAGTACCTCTCAGCCCATAAACCCTGCACCAACCCCAAATCAAGCTCCAGTCCCTGTCCCAGCCAGCCCTAGCACCGTCACCAGTGCCATCTCCAACCTGCCTTCAGTCAGGGTCACTAACTCCTGCTTAGATCCCAGCCACAAAACCCAGCCCCAGTCACAAACGCTAGCACAGGGACCAGCTCTGAAGTTCAGCCCCAGACCCTGGCTAAACCTTAACCATAGCCTGGGTCACTAGAAGGATCCTCACCCCTCACTGGAGTCTCAAACCCACCAGAGCTAGCTTGGATACCAGCCCCAAATCCACGCCCTGCCCGACTCCATCCTGGGCTTGAAGCCCAGCCCCAGCCCTGGCCGCGCGCGCCTGCCTCGGAACTGCATTGCGGAGCGCGGGGGAGAGGCTGGAAAGGATGAGAGCAAGCGGGCGCGCGCCAGCCGGGAAGGGACCCGCGACCACCCAGCCGCAATGCAGTGCGGGACCCGCCCTGCAGGCTCTGAGCTCCTGGGCCCAACCTTGCCTGTATCCAAGCCCCGCACTCACAGTAGCCCCAGCCCCGGGCTCCTGAGACCGTGAAGAGCAGGATGCAGAAGAGCCGGAGATGCATCGTGCAGAGCTGACGCGTCCCCGGCGGCCGCCTCTCAGCGCCTGGCTCTGGCTGGGGATCCAGCTCTGGCTCGGGCTCGGGCTCCCAGCTCTCCCCTTGGGGTTAGCGGCCGACCGCTGTATCTCCTCTTTCCCCTCTCTCCCTCCTTTCTCCCCCAACCCTCTCTCCTTCTTTCTCTCGTTCCTGGCTCTCTGCTCTTCTCGCCCTCCTCTCCTTTCCACCCTCTCACCTCCCCCCTTCCCTGCCAGCCTCTCCTGGCACGCGCGCTTTCCCGGACCCCGCGCAAGCGCGCGCCTCAGCCCGGCTGCGATAGGGCGGGGATAGAGAGCCTCCAACTACCCGAAATACCCCGAGTGCCCCCAGACCATCAGGGGGCTGGGGTCACAGGGGTGGCCAAAGGGAGGCAAGGGCCAAGGGGTCCTGAAAAATCCAAGTAAAAAGAGGAGGGAGGGGGTGCCTGGAGATGGGGAGAAGGGTAAGTAAAAGAACCTAACATTTTCTGAAGGCACATTATACCCCAGGCCCCGTGCCAGGCACTCTGTAACCCTGCGGATTCATCATTTTTACCTTACTCCACTTTGCAGATAAAAAAACTTGAAACCAGAGAGGTCATGAAATTTACACAAGATCACACAGCTAGTTAGCAAATGATATTCCAAAGCTTTTCCCCATATCCCCACCTCCACTGGCAGGGTAGAAAGAAGTTCTGTTTGGGTGGGAATGGGAAAGTTAGGTAAGGTGGGCCCACAGATTCTAATCCCCACCTCCCTCTTGGCCCCTCTCCCCGCCCCTTCCTTCCTGTCCCACTAGTTTAACTTCTCCCCCCTGTGGCTACACCTCAGAAACCCGTGTAGCAAGAGATGGGGACTGAGCCCGCAGAGCAGGTGGGAATTGGGGCAGGGCTTGGGAGGGGGTGGTTACAGAGAGGGAGGGTAAGGTGATGGAATTCCCCACCTAGCTACAGGGTTCAGAGGGCTACAGGACTGACTATCAAGAATGCTGGGAACCATCTCAGGCAGGGGCTCTCCAGTTAGGTGAGGCTGGTGATATGAGGCTGGGGTTTAAGGGGCTTGGACCGAGGCTGAGGGGAATCACAGGTTGAACCTAGAGCCCAACGTCCCAAATGAGTCCAGAAAATCTAAGCTCCAACCTTTGAGGACCCCTTGGCAGGAGTACTTCAGTGCAGCTGTACTACAGGTACAGGCAGGGATGGGAAGGGGGAAAAGGAAAAAGACAAATAAACCCTCTCCAGACCAAGTAACCAGACCAGGGTCAGAGTTTGAGGCAAAGCCTGCAAGTGGCTGTCCTTCCAGGAGAGGGCGCTGCAGAGGGAACTGAAGCGTCAAGATTCATTAATAAAACAAATGGTTAGACTGTGGAGAGCAAATATGGCCCATATCCATTATCTTTCTTATTTCAAACAATCCTCACAGCAAACCCTGCCAGATGGGATGGTCACCACTTCTAATCTCATTGACGGTCAAAAAAGAGCAAGCCCTGTGCTCAAAGTCACTCAGGCAGAGGCAGGAGGAGTGTGTGGGAAGCTCAAGCCCTGGGGTAGGGGGGCCTCCAGGAAAGAGTTTGGAGAAGAGTTTGTCTTCTCCCCCCACTATGGTAACTACTCCCAGGTTGGAGACCTGTTTGGAAGGGGGATGTGCCTGGGAAACTGTCTCATCAGCTGTCTCATCTCGACCTCCCCAGGTCTCCTGGGGCCCCTACTCTGGGGAGGATGATGAAGCGTACTCGTCTGAGCCGTTGCCGGAGCTCTGCTACAAGGCAGACGTCCAGGCCTTCAGCAGGGCCTTCCAACCCAGTGTCTCCCTGACGGTGGCTGCTCTGGGTCTGGCCGGTAACGGCCTGGTTCTGGCCACCCACCTGGCGGCCCGCCGCGCCACCCGCTCGCCCACCTCAGCCCACCTGCTCCAGCTGGCCCTGGCCGACCTCCTGCTGGCACTGACCCTGCCCTTTGCCGCAGCTGGGGCTCTGCAGGGCTGGAGCCTGGGCAGTGCCACCTGCCGCGCCATCTCTGGCCTCTACTCAGCCTCCTTCCACGCGGGCTTCCTTTTCCTGGCCTGTATCAGCGCCGACCGCTACGTGGCCATCGCGCGGGCCCTCCCGGCACGGCCGCAGCCCTCAGCGCCAGGCCGAGCGCACTTAGTCTCGGCCGTCGTGTGGCTGCTGTCACTGCTCCTGGCTCTGCCCGCACTCCTCTTCAGCCGGGACGGGCAGCGAGAAGGCCAGCGGCGCTGCCGCCTCATCTTCCCCGAGGGCCTCGCACAGACTGTGAAGGGGGCGAGCGCAGTGGCGCAGGTGTTCCTGGGCTTCGCACTGCCGCTGGGCGTCATGGCGGCCTGCTACGCGCTCCTCGGCCGCACGCTGCTAGCCGCCAGGGGACCCGAGCGCCGGCGCGCGCTGCGCGTCGTGGTGGCCCTGGTGGCGGCCTTCGTGGTGCTGCAGCTGCCCTACAGCCTCGCCTTGCTGCTGGATACCGCCGATTTGTTGGCTGCCCGCGAGCGGAGCTGCCCAGCCAGCAAACGCAAGGATCTAGCTCTACTGGTGACCGGCGGCTTAGCCCTCGCCCGCTGCGGTCTCAATCCAGTGCTCTATGCCTTTCTGGGGCTACGCTTCCGCCAGGACCTCCGGAGGCTGCTGCGGGGTGGGGGCTGCAGCCCAGGACCTCACCCCGGCGGCCGCTGCCCTCGCGGGCCCCGCCTGTCTTCCTGCTCCGCTCCCACTGAGACCCATAGTCTGTCCTTCTAGGACAGCCAGAGCTGCGAAACTAGAGGAGGGGGAGGACCGGGAAACTATTCCAGGGAGGGTAACAGAAAAGGGGGGCGTAGGTGGGAGAATACTGAGAAAGAAGTAGGGACTTACAGGGATCGCTTCTGTGCCTTGACACATTAAATTGATAACATGAAAATGAGATGCAAGCCAACAACTGTTACTATTTTTGAGTCGCCTACTTGGAAGTAATTTGTAGCAGGGCAGAGCCGGTGGGTCACCCCTCCCGCTTGCTTCTGAGTGGAAGGCGCTGAGAGCCGGGCTAGGGGTGGGGAACTGCTGAGTCTGCTCGGATTTTAGGCGCTGACATCTCCCCCACCTTCATCCAGTCTCTGCCAACAGAGGTGAGGTGGGAAAGCTGCCAGGCCAGGAGGGGCGGGGCTCCTCTTGAAATAGTGTGAGGAAAAGCTTTCTAACAACCAGAGCTGTCCAGTCATGGCTGCCTTGGGAAGTACTGGAGTTCCAGGTCCCTGGAATGTTCAAGCTGAGGCTATTGGGGGACGTTCTGTGCCTGCGTGTAGGGTGTGGGTAGGGGTACGAGGTGGACGTTTGGGTTAGATTACCATTTTACAATCTCTTCTGGGCTTCTGTGATGAAAAGAAAAAAAAAAAGTAATAAAAAAACTTAAGCTGGAGTTCTTCACCTTGGAGAAAAACCAAGAGAAGGAGGGAACTGCAATTTGCAAATTTCCAACAGTCGTTATCACCCGAGTGGAGTGAAGTGTGTGTTTGGGGTGCCATTCTTCATCTTCCCTGGGGACAGGGTCAGAGGAAATACCGGAAAGGGGGAGGTCAGACATCGAAAAGAACTTCCTTGCAACCAAGGGCCTGGGTTTCAGACGCGGAAGGGCGCCTATGGTTGTGGTGTCTCCAACGCTGGGAAAACTCAGTGGGCAAGGGCACGCCTGGGATGGCCTCTGAAGACGGTCGCATTGATTCCCGGTCTTTGTTTTACACAGTTACACAAGCAGAATCATGTTCGCATGCGACAACTCTCGGCAGTTTAATATCCAGTCAGCAAAGCAGTCCGGGCCACTCCAGCTTGAAACGGGTGGTGGGGCCCGGGGCGAGAGGGACCGGGCGTGGCGAGGAGGTCTCTAGGGAGGTGCTAGCCTGACGTCCCCGCCCTGTCCCTCCTTGTCTCGCCAAAGCTAGCCTTCCCTCCCCGGAGCTCCGGCTGGAGCGGAGAGCCATGGCCTCCAGGGGCCAGGATCCAGGGAAGGTCTGGAGACGGTGCACATCCTCAAAGGTTCACGTACGCCAGCCGCTGGGGGCCGACCTGGAACCCACCACCGGAGACTAAGGGAATCGCCGCTGAGTCAGCAAGGCGCGCTCCCGCGGTCGCCCGGGCCCCGCCCCTCCGCGGCCCCACCCCCTCCTCCTCGCGCCTCGGTTAACCCCTTCCTAACAAAGAACTGAGGGCTATTTGCCCTGCGAAGCCACTATGTGCATAGATCACAGACTATAGAATCTGGAGCCACTCTCCCCACCTGAGTTCAATGAGCTGTGCGCTTTAAGTTCAGTTTTATTCTGCCCTAGGTCAGCACCTTCCCGAATCCCTACCTCAGCTCCGTTGATTCTAAGAGGTAACTCAGACCAAGAGTCTGGATTCCTTCATTCTGGGGGCAGAGAGCCACCTCACCTCTAGGGCTATGTCAGGCGCAGGTCTGGTCACCCTCTCAGTAGCTAAGGCTGTTCCCTTTTTCAGGGTACCTGGTACAAGACGGAGTTCAGAAAGCAGTAATCGGGTCTTCCTCAACTTCAACCCTTAGGCCCTTGGCTATATCCTCTGCCCTCTCAAGAGCTTTTGATTTATTGGTGAGCTAAGAGTTAAAACAAGCGCCTGAAGGCGGGGCTTCCGTGACGTCCCTAGCACCCCGCGTCAGACCTCAGAGGCTGGGGCGTGGCTAATCTCAAAGTCCCCCTTCCTCCCAATTCTCCCTCCCTTCTCCGCTGTCACCAAGCCAGGGGCACATGATGCAACACGCCGCGGCCTCAGCTTTTTGATTGGTGGCCGCGCCCGGCGCCAGGCACAGAGATTGGGCAGAAGGCGTTGTGACGAAACCTGGACCCTGCCCTGTAAAGAAGGGAGGAGAGAAAGAAGAGGGAAGGGGGGGCCCTCAGGGGAAAGGGATCTGGGGAGGCGGGGTCCCGGGCGCTGTGCTCGCGCCCCCAGCGCGCCAGTCCCGGGGCTGCAGGGAGCGCAGCGCGCGCGGCCCGGGCCCCGGCCACCGGATGCCCTACCGGACACGACCCTCCCTGGAGCTTGGACAACTGCCCACCTCGGACACTGCACCGGACACTGCCCCCCACAGGGCTGGCCACTACAACGGACACTACTTCCCAGCTCCGGACATTGCTCCCTCCTCCCCTCCACCCCGACCCTGGACGCTCTTCCCCCTCCCCCCTCCGGGGGCCAAGCACAAGCCCCCGGCAGGCTCTAGCTGGCGTCCCCGTGCACCCCAACGCTGAGCACTGCTCCCTCCCTGTTGCTCTCTCCCTCCCTCTCCCCTTCCTCCTGCCTCCAGTCCCCCCGCCCCCGCCCCCGCCCGGGCAGCCGAGCCCCGCCAGTTTCTCCGACCCCCTGCTGCCCGGCCGCGGCTGCACCCGCCCCTATCCCGGGTCGCTCGCCCGGATGCCTCTCCCCGGGGGATTGTGGTGGCTTCTCTGCTGCCGTCGAGGCTTCACACTTCTGCATCGGGACTACGGGGACGGCGAGCTTAGCGGGGACGGGGACGAGGACGAGGAGACCTTTGAGCTACGGACCCCGAGTCCAGCGGGCAGCGGGAGGGTAAGTCCTGGGGGGGGGGCTTGGAGAATCGCCTCAATCCTTCTCGCTACAACAGGCAGTCACGCCTGCTCTGGCCCCAGACTCCAGCCAAACTCCGCTTTCTGGGAGAACTGGGAGACTAAGGGAGGTTCCTGCCTGGGGGCCACAAGCCCCCAGGAGCTCAAGGGCAGTTGGACTCAGGATGTGCCTGTGGGCCTCGCGCGGCAGGCACGCTGGGCGCTGTCCACCTGCTGGGGGCCCTGAGGCAGGGTAGGCGTCACGCGTGGCCCGACCTGGCCCTGCCTCTCCCTTCCCCGCCGGGCCCGCGTCCCATTCCGTCTCCTTCCGCCTCCGCCAGCGCCGAGGAATGTGGCGAGGCCGGCTGGGCGGCTCGGACGCCTGGGTCCACTCCGCTCCCAGTTCGTAAACTCTGAGGCCAGATGCGGGAGCTTCTGCCGCTGGGGGCTTGGCAAGGGAGAGAAGACATCATAGGCTTGGGGTCTGTGGTAGGAACCCCACGGAGAAGGAGTTGGGGGCCACAGTTCTTTGAGGACCCCTGTCATTACCCTGCCATTCAGGACAGAACTCTTGGCCCTCTCTGGTGAGGCCCCTGGGGATTCCCTTAGGGATGGTGAGCGACACTCGGCTCTCGGTTTTGTCGAATATTTCACGGGGAAACTGAGGCACGATTGGTAGGGGAGACCTGTAGCCCCTGATGTCCCCTCCCACATACTCCTGCCCGGTGGAGGCCAGACTCCAGTGTGCTATGGCCTGGGCCAGGCTCCCATCCCCCGCTCAGGGGTCCCCGACAGGCCCAGTGGCTCTGTGCCCGGGTGGGGCGGGCTGAGCCTCCGGGGCCGGCGCCAGCACCTGGCGGAGGCGGAGGGCGGATAAATATAGAGGGGGGGAGGGGGGGAAGTGGGGAACTGCGATTAGGGGAGCTGGTTTGAAAGAGTGGTCAGCATCTGCCCCCCTTGGTGATGGGGCTGTGAGCCCTTCTCCGACCCTCCAGAAAATGGGTGGATCTGCACCCCTGGAAGTGGCGGGACCCAGGCATCCCCAAGCGTCCAGCCTGGACAGGGTCTATTCTATCAACCCTGCCATTGCTTCCTTCGGGCTCCACCTCCACCCCCACCCCCCTCCATGGAGCTTGGGGACAGGTGTCCCTGGCCCCCCTCCCCCTCCTGGCTGGAGCTGTCTGGGCGCAATGGGAGGATGGCACAGTTCCCGCCTGGCCCAGCTCCTGGATGGGTTTGCGGCCTCTGGGAGACCGCAGTCTAGGATTTAAGTTCTTGAGCGATGTGGGACTGATGGAGAAATGGCAAGATCCCGGACTACACCTCACTTGTAGTGTGTGGGCCATTCCTCAGCCTGTTCTACCCATCCCGAGCCCCAGCGGAGGGGCACGGGCTACGCTCCTCTCTGGGCTTCAGGGGTGTCTGTGGGAGGGGCATAAGAAGCTCTCGGAGAAAACCCTGTACAGAAAAGTTCCCTCTCCTTCATTCACCTCTGCGCCCTCAGTCATCATCCCGCAGCAAGCGAGGCAGAGCGAAGGAAAGGAAAGTGGAGAGTGGAAGGAGTGACTTTTAGCTGGCCGGAGGGGGCCGGGACTTCCTCCACCTCAGTTGGGGAAACTGAGTAAGGCCCTGAGACAGGAAGAGACTTGCCCAAGGCTCCACAGCTAGTTCGTGGCCAAGCCCGCGCTAGAAGCCGGGTCTCTTACCTCCCTGCCCAGTCCTCTTTCCACCCTACCCCATCCTGATTACATCTTCAAAAGGTAAGGGGGCCTTGGCTTCTCCGCTGGTGGACCAGCCCCAGGGGCGAGCCCAGGAGCTGTAGCTCGCTCTGCCCCAACCCCGACACCTCAGTTCCCTGAGCAGCGCTGTCCTGGGGGCAGAAACCACCGACTTCGCACAGGGAGCCCTCGGACCCTGAGGTCTTCCCTGCCTGTCTCCCAAGGGCCCCCTGGACGTGACGCTGACTCAGCCGGTGAGGACCGGGCCGGTCTCCGACAGGTGAGCTCCACCCCTGTGTCCCATGGTCTCCTGACCTCAGCCTGTCCCGGGGACCCCCTTGCTCGCCCTCCTTCCTCTGCCGTTGTGCAATAAGGGAGAGGCCCTTTGCCGGACGCTGTGGTTTGGCCAGGGTCCGGAGGGAGGGGGTGGGGGAATACGGGGTGGGGGGGGGCGGTCAGGCCCTGGGTGCGCGCCGAGGGAAGGGGAGTCCGGGCTATTTCTGGGCCGAGGTCAGGACAGCCTGGCGGTTCCCACAGCCAGGGGGAGGGGTTCCCAGCCCAGGAGTCCCTACTAAGGCGCCCCCTCGAGGCGGGCCAGGGACAGAGCAGCCTCGCCCAATCCTCCCTCCCCTCTGGCCCCAGGCTGCAGAGCTCGGAGGAGACTCGGAGCCTCATTCCGGAGAAGGGACCGCCGGAGGACGACCCGGACGTTGTAGTGAAAGGTAAGGACCCCCTCGAGCACTCCGGAGGTGCCCAACCTAACTCCTCCAGCGGATAAAATCTCCTTCTGATTCTCTCCCCCACCCTCCCAGGTTGGCTCTACCGCGAGCCCCGCGCCGGAGGGGCGCGGCCCTGGCTGCCCCCACGCCGGGCCTGGTTCGTGCTCACTCGGGACTCCCTGGACCAGTTCAGCAGCAGCGGGAAGGGGGCGCGGCGCCTCGGAAGCCTGGTACTCACCAGTCTGTGCTCTGTGATCGGTCCGGAGCGCAGGCCCAAGGAGACCGGTGAGACCTGAAGGAACTCTCCCAGCTCTCTGGGCAGCTGCTTGCCTGCGCCCGGTCCTGATTGCTCTTCCTGGCCTTTCATTCCCCCAGGTCTGTGGTCAGTGACCGTGTCTGGACGGAAGCACAGCGTTCGCCTTTGCTCTCCGCGCCAGGCAGAGGCCGAACGCTGGGGCGTGGCGCTTCGTGAAGTTATTGCTGCCAAGGCACCGTTGGAGACGCCCACGCAGCTACTTCTCAGGGACATTCAGGTGGGAGAGGGGACTCCGGAGAGAACTGGGGAGATGGGTAGGTCCAGAAGCTGTCTGGGTTCACAGTGAGCACTCTGACCCATCACATGACCCTGTGCCTTTGCCTCTAGGAGAGTTGTGGGGACCCAGAGGCTGTGGCCCTCATTTACCGTCGGAACCCTATTCTGAGGCACACGAGTGGGGCCTTGTATGCCCCACTCCTGCCCCTGCCCTATGGAGTGAGTGCCCCAGGTGAGTGGTGCCCTGGAGGGGATGAAGTGGATCAGAGAGAAGAATATGAATATGTCTTACCTAGCAGGGACCTACTGAGTCCTCATGGGCCTACTCAGCCCCTTACTTTTCAAAGGATGAAGGTGAAACAGGAAACTGGCCAGATGAACCCACGGTGGAGGGGAGGAAAGCCATTATTCATGTTTCTCATGAAACATCATTTCTCTCTTCTGGTGTTTCATCACACTCTTAAAACCATGTCATATTGTTGTACGCCATTGGATGGATTCTGATACACAGTGACCCTATAGGATAGAGTAGAACTGCCCCATAGGGTTTCCTAGGGTGTATGTATACCCTGGGCTGTTGGAAAAACAAACAAATCTGTTTTGGAAGAAGTACAGTCAGAATTCTTCTTAGAAATGAAGATGGTGAGACTTCATCTCACCTACTTTGAACATGTTATCAGGAGGGACTAATCCGTGGAGAAAGACATCATGCTTGGTAAAGTAGAGGGTCGGTGAAAAAAAAAGGAAGACCCTCCATGAGATAGATTGACACAGTGGCTGCAACAATGGGCTCAAACATGGCAACAATTGTGAGGTAGGTGCAGGACAAGGCAGTGTTTTCTTTGGTTGTACAGTGTCTCTATGAGTTGAAACTGACTCCACAGCACCTACCACCACCACCAATCTCTACAGGAGCAGACTGCCAGGTCTTTTCTCCCAGGGAGCCACTGGTGGGTTTGAACCACTGACCTTTCAGTTAGCAGTCGAGTCCTTAACCATTGTGCCACCAGGGCTCCTTCCTTGTTATATTATCTGTACACATGCCCCTGACAAATGGTAGAAAAGCTACCATTCTGGGAGAATGTGCTTGAAGAGCTGTTGCTCTCATCCAGCTGTAGTCTCCCCACAAGAGGGCAGTGACTTGCCTGATCTATACAACTTAAGGGTTAAGGGGCCCTGGGAGGAAAACCCTGGTTTTCTGATTCTCAGTCCAGTCTGTTTTCTGTCCCATCAGAATGGCTTTCAGTACCTATTACCTAATCTGGGCTTAGGGAGCTCTGGTAGTGTAGTGCCTAAGGCATTTGACTGCTAACCAGAAGGCTGGCGGTTCAAACCCACCAGCCACTACTTGGAAGGAAGGTTGGGCAATCTACTTCCATAATGATACCACCTTGGAAACCCAAGGAGGGGTCGCTATGAGTCAGCCCGACTCGATGGCACATAACAACAGTCTGGGCTTTGAACTATGTCCTTTAGACTATCCTTCTATGTACTAGCCCAAAGTTCAGGCATAGAGGTAGCTGAGTGGGGATCCCTGGGAGGCTGGGGTTGAGAGTTTGGCTTTGTGGGGACCATTGCTTCTCCTTCTCTCTGCCTGTCCTTCGTACCCTCTTCTCCTCCTCTGACCTTCCCCTGGTTCATGCCTTCCTCTTAGGGCCCAGCTCTGTGTTCTCCCTCCAAACCATCCCTCCACCCCCACCCTCCCCGCAGGTCCGGGCTACGCACCCTTGCGGGAGGAGGCTGTACGGCTGTTCTTAGCGCTGCAGGCACTGGAGGGGGCACGGCGCCCGGGGCCCCTGATGCAGGGTGTGCTCCAGACCTGCCGGGACCTGCCCGCGCTCCAGGACGAACTCTTCCTGCAGCTGGCTAAGCAGACCTCGGGCCCTACGGGGCCCCCCAGTCCCCCTGCTACCCAAGACCCTGCAGTCCTGCGGTACTGGCAGCTCCTTACCTGCATGAGCTGCACCTTCCGGCCTGGAGGAGCTGTACGGGGACACCTCCTAGGGCATCTGGAGAGGTGAGGGGTTGGGGTGGGGGCAAGGCCTGAGCAAAGGAGCTGGTGAGAATGACAGTCCTTTCCAAAGATTTCGGCAGATGAAGAGCCTAGACTCAGAGAAGGCAGCAGATTCGCTCACGTCCAGCCAGGGCCGCAGGGACTACAACAGTGCTGTTTGTGGGCCGAGCAATTACAAACAGGCGTCCCCTTTGCACAAACGAATTACTAAAAGGCTCTTTTTTCTTAGGGCTGATGTAGTCCAGGGCCAGGGCTTTTAGGTTAGAGAGTGATATGCTGATGGATTTCGGATTGCAGCTTCAATAAGCATCATAGAGACTTTCCGTAGTGGCACAGGGAGTGGGAAAGAGTTGCCAGGGTGTTTAGAAAGTAATACAGCTCCTTACAGAATGCTAGGGAAAGAGATAGAAGGGCCAGTTGCTGCCTTCCAAGGGCTTGTAGTTGGAGAGGAGGGAACCCAAGAGATGAAATACACTACAGTACAAGAAGGCGGGAGGGAGGGGGAGAAGGCCAGCCCTCTGAGCACTGATTCCCGGGCACCCTTTGCCCCAGGACCGAGCAGGCGCTCCCGGATTCCGAGGTGGCTGAATATGCGCGCTTTATCCGGAGAGCCCTGGGCCGGATGCGCGGCCGAGAGCTGGTGCCGTCCCTGGCGGAGATTTCCGCGTTGAGCCGGCGGCAGGAGCTGCTGTGCACGGTGCACTGTCCCGGGGCTGGTGCCTGCCCGGTGGCCATCGACTCCCATACCACAGCGGGGGAGGTGAGGCCAGATAGAGGCCCCTGTACCCCCAATCCGTCCTCGCAGCTTCCCCTGCTCGGCTTTCCCGGTGCCTGCTCCCGAAGTTTGCCCTGAGTCTCAGATTCATCATTTGGGTAAAGGGGTGGTGGTAGTGGCGGGACTAAGAGACCTGGAAGACCTTTCCAGTTGGATGAGCCCTTACCAGAGTCCTGGAAAGACCCCTGCACTGTCTGACTTCCTCCTCTCCCCTACCCTCCAGGTGGCTCAAGAGCTAGTGGGGCGGCTGGGCTTGGCCCGGAGCCGTAACACGTTCGCGCTGTATGAGCAGCGAGGGGCACAGGAGCGAGCCCTGGCTGGGGGGACCCTCGTAGCCGACGTGCTCACCAGGTTTGAGAAGTAAATGTCCAGCCCCCGCTCTGTTATATCAGTTAGCTCCTCTGCCTCTCAGGTTCGGTCGATCACTAAACAAACGTTTGTCCGGCGCTTACCACATACCCAGCACAATGACGTTTCCCGGGGTCACAGATCCAACCCCAGCCCTCTCCGATATACACTCACCTTCCTTTCCGCTCCGCTCAGACCCCACCCCAAACCTCTGGCCCAGCCTCAGATTGGACCCGTCCCTCCCCCAGCGGCCCAAGCCCAGGGGGTCCCTTTTGGGCTGGATCCTGGCTGGCTCCCGCTTCCGCTGTCTCACGGCTCCCTCTTCCGCAGCTTGGCAGCGGAGGAAGCCGGGCTGGAGGGCTTGCTGGAATCGGGTTGGAGGCTGTGTCTGCGTCTTCACGGACCACTGCATCCCGAAGGCCTGTCCCCAGACGGTCACGAACTGCCTTTTCTTTTCGAGCAGGTGAGGATCTCCCTCATTCGTGCCCCTAAACAGAGCCCTGACCCCCTGAACCCGTTCCTTTCTAAAAACCAGTTATGGTCGAGTTCCACTCAAGGTGACCCACGAATGTCAGAGTGGACCTGTGCTCCCTTGTTGCTGTTGTTATGTGCCATGGAGTCGGACCTGACTCATAGCGACCCCTCCTTGGGTTTCTGAGGCAGTATCACTATGGAAGTAGATTGCCCAACCTTCCTTCCATGAGTGGCTGGTGGGTTTGAACCGCCAACCTTCTGGTTAGCAGCCAAGTGCCTTAGGCACTATGCCACCAGAGCTCCCTAGGGTTTTCAGTGGCTGATTTGTGGAAGTAGATCGCCAGATCTTTCTTCCGAGGCGCCTCTGGGTGAATTTGAACCTTTAACCTTCAGATTGGCAGCCCAGGCCATTAACTGGTTATTCTGCCCAGAGATTCCCTCCCCTTATTAAACCAAAAACTCACTGCCCTTGAGTTCATTCCAACTCATAGCGACCGCCCACTGGGTTTCTGAGGCAGTAAATCTTTACGGAAGTAGATCGCCCTTTCTTCCTTCCCTGGAGCGCTACGGGGGTTTGAACGACTGACCTTCTGATGCCTTAGCTACTACATCACCAGTGCTCCTCAAACCCAGACCTTAGATTCCAAGTTCCCATGTGTTTTCGCTCCAGCACAGCAGCCCCTCCTGCACTGACGCCCAGTGTCACCCCCGCAGGCTCACGCTCTGTTGCTGCGCGGTCGGCCGCCCCCACCTGACGACACTCTGCGCGCCCTGGCGGCGTTGCGCCTGCAGTGTCTGCACCGGGACTTCTCCTCGCGAGCGCCCCTGCCGCGCCTGGACCGCCTACTGCCACCCCCGGCCCCGCAGCGTGAAGACCCGCCCCGCCCCGCCCCCAGGCCCCTCCCCTCTGCCGCCCTGCTGGCCGGGGCACTCTGGAGCCCAGGACTAGCCAAGAGACGGGCGGAGCAGGCCTGGCGCGGCGGGGCCAGTCGCACGGCGGGAAGCACTGCCCGCGATGGAGGAGGCGGCGCCGGCACCGCGGCTGCTGTGCTGGGCGGTTGGAAGCGGCTGCGGGGCATGGGCCGAGCTGAGGCCATGGCTGCCTACCTGGCTCTGGCGGCGCAGTGTCCGGGGTTCGGCGCTGCTCGGTATGACGTTCTGGAGCTGAGCACGGTGAGGGGGAGAAGGGAGAAGGGGACTCTGGTGGCCCAAGCCCCACACCTTTGCCCCAGAGCCACAGGCCCCCACTGTGGGGTCACACTTTCTGTCCCAGGACAGCTGCCCATCTAAAACCCCAGGAGGCACCTTGGACACCCACCTCTCTGGTGCCTTAACTCCTTGCAGACATGCACTGTGGGCTCCGAGGGGGAACGCGGAGCCTTCCTGTTAACAGCTAACCCCACAACAACAAAAACACTGTAATGTCCTCTCTCCACCTCCTGACTCTACCTGTCTGTCTGCAGGAGCCTGGTGGGGGCGCTCCACAGAAGCTATGCCTGGGCCTGGGAGCCAAGGCCATGTCCCTTTCCCGACCTGGTGAGACAGAGCCCATCCACAGTGTCAGCTATGGCCACGTGGCCGCCTGCCAGCTAATGGGGCCCCATATCCTGGCATTGAGGGTGGGAGAGCGCCAGCTCCTCCTGAAGAGCCCCCAGGTGAGTTGAAGAAGGGTAGTGGAAGGAGGAGGGAAGGGAAGGGATGTCAGGAAACATTTATTGAACTAGGCATGGGCTAGGTGCAGCTCTAGCCACTGGGGATCCAGCAGTAATCTAAGACAAGCTCAAGAAATTACATTAGCATGGGAGAGTGAGACAATGAACAGGTAATCAAAGATTATTTAAGACAGAGATAAATGCTACAAAGAAAAGAATAGCGAGATAGGAAGTAACTGGAGAGACCATAGCATTAGGTAGGATAGTCAGGTGAAACTTATGTAGCCATGGGGAGATCTGGGAACTAGCATTCCAGGTGGAGGGAAATGGGAATGCAAAGGTCCTGAGATGGGAATAAACCCAAAAAACAAACCCAGCGCCATGGAGTCGATTCTGATCCATAGCAACCTCCACTGGATTTCCAAGGCTATAAATCTTTATGGAAGTAGACTGCCTCATCTTTCTTCCATAGAACAGCTGGTGGGCTTGAACCACTGACCTTCTGGTTAGCAGCCAGATGTCTCATTCACTGTGCCACCAGAGCTCCTTGAGATGGAAATAGACTTGGCATATTAGAGGCCAGAAAGAAGGCCAGTGTGATTTGCACATAGTGAGGGGAGAGAGGTGAGGAGTGGGGGAAGGTTGCAGGGGCCGCATGGAGGGCACTGGTAAGGAACCTGGAGCTTGAGAGCTTCTGAGGTGGAGAGACAAAGAAAGGAGCCCAGTGACCCCTGTTGCACCCTGACCTCTGCTCTCTCTTAGGTGGAAGAGATCATGCAGCTGGTGAATGCCTACTTGGCCAACCCCTCCCCCGAGAGGCCCTGCAGCAGTCCTTCTCCTCCGTGCCAAGACCTGCCAGACATCTCCCCTCCCAGCCAGCACCCGAGCTTGGATGAGCCCCAGGGACAGTCTGGCTGTTTGGGGCAGCTGCAGGACTGAGCCTGCCAAGAGGTCATGACCTCCCTCCTGCCTCCAGTTTGGGCCTGGACTGCTCTGAGATTTGTGGAAACCATGGACCCTTTTGGCCCTGCAGGGACAGGGCATACCATGCACCCAAGAGCTGCAATGGGTGTGGACAGTTTTCTAGTTTGTTTCTTAATTTATTTGTAGAAGAGAAGCAAAAAAATCCTTATTTACACAAAATCTTCCCGTGAGAGTGTTGTCAGTAGGACAAGTTGGAGCCCCAGAGTTCAAGAGCTCCACCCTTAGGGACGCCCACACTCTGGGCTTTTCCAGGCACAGAGGGGAGTCTGGACACCACGGGGCTCCACCCTCCTTGACTTTCTGGATTTAACCTCTACCTGGTCAGTCAACTGCTGCAGGGTGGTAGGTGGGGCAGGCAAGAGTGCAACTTTGGAAGCTAGCAATTACTCACCCTTCCTATTCCATTGGGTGGCATCCTCCTGACATCCCTGAGGCCAGAGGACAATGAGTCATCAAGACTGGCACTGCCCAGTTCCTACCCTGGTGTTCAGTCTCCTGGGCCCTGATTGAGTCCACTTTTGGTGGGCCTACTGCTTTGGGCCTGCAATGGAGGGAAGAAGCCTGGAGCAGATTTTATGTCCAAGAAAGAACTTCTCAGGGTGGGTTCAGCCCTACTCCTGAGTTCTGTCCCTGCTTATCAGGTTAGGTTGAGTTGGTCTGCATCCCTGGAGATCTGATGATTCTGAGCACTGGGAATCCAGACAACAGGCCTTCCTGACCTCAGAATGCTATAGGTCCTCCTTTGCCCTAAGTAGAAGGACATGTACCACTAAAGGGTAGGATCTTAGATGCTGAGTAGACAGGAGACCTCAGTAGCCCTCTGTAACCTTTAGAGTAGAGCTGATCGTGTCAAACAATCTGCTTCAAGTCAAGGAATGACAACAGAAACAATAGACACCATAAAACTTAGACTAGAGCAGGTAGAGTCCACCCTACCGTCATATGCCTTGTAACTGGGAACATGGAGATCTCTTCACTGTCCCATTGTTCACAGACTAACCAAACCCACTACTATCAAACTGATTCTGACTCATAACCACCCCATAGGGTTTCCAAAGGTATGATCTTTTCAGAAGCAGACTGATACATCTCTCTCCTACAGAGCAGCAAGTAGGTTTGAACTATCAATCTTTCGATTAATAGCTGAACACTTAAGGACTGTAACACCAGGGCTCCTTTCTTCATAGACAATGCCCTGAGTATATTCATTATTGTTGTTAAGTGCCGTTAAGTCGGTTCCGACTCATAGTAACCCTGTGTACAACAGAACAAAACACTGCCTGGTCCTGCGCCAGCCTCACAGTTGTTTCTGTTTGAGCCCAGTGTTGGAGCCACTGTGCCAATCCATCTTGTTAGGATCTTCCTTTTGTTCAGGATCTTCCCTCTACCTTACCAAGCATGATGTCCTTCTCCAAGGACAGGTCCCTCCGAAGATGTGAGACAAAATCTCGCCATCCTCACTTCTAAGGAGCACCCTGGCTATGCTGCTTTGGGCTTTATGACTTTATTAGAGCTACACAAGCACATCACAGTTAGGTCACAGAAGGGAAGAAGTGGGGTCAGCTCTTGGCCAGGAGATAAACCTAGAAAGGTTGTTGGCGAGGAGAAATTGAGTCAGACAGACTAGGAATGGTGGCACTGTGCTTCCTGTGTAGAGGTGGGTGGACGTGGGGAGGGAAGTCACTGCTCCTGGGTGCCCCAGGAGATGTAGTCTGGCCGCGTGGCCGCATGGTACTCATCAATGAGCTCCTGCACAACCTCCCTGGATGTGTCCAGTTCGTCGAAGTTCTCCTTGAAGATGTCCTCCTTGCGGAACTGCTCCAGGAAGGCCTCCCGCTTCCGCAGCTTGTCATACTGCTGGCAGGAACTTTCGAAGAGCTGAAACAGATGGGAATCTCCTCCAGGATGGGCACCAATGCCAAGGGGTAGGCATGGACCAGGGGAAGGTGATGAAAGTGGTCAGAGGAAGAGTGTGGCCAAAACAGACCAGAAGACTAGACTTACTGAAGAGATACTGGTGTGGTTGGCCATCATGAGCCCGCTGACCCGGTGGGCTGAGGGCAGGTAGGGAGACTTCCTTGACAGGGCCACCTGGATACTGGCTGGGCCCCAGGGGATGAAGTTGGCCAACTTGCGTTCCCGGATCCTCTGCAGGCTCTTGTGGACCTGGGGTGGGCACAGGAGTGGTGGTGGTAGCCTCTCCTCTACCCCTGCAGGTTCCGGGGGTAGAATGAAGGGGCTTCACCTACCTGGGTGGGGTCCACCTCTCCCTGGATGATGTTGAGGATGGCAATGTAGCAGTGGTTCGTCTGGCGATCCCGGCCAGTGGACACCATCACATTCTTGGGCTGTAGCAGCCGCCTCATGACATCCAGGACTGTGGTCTTCCTCACGCTGGCCACCTGAGGAGACAGTGGGTAACAGAGACCAGGCCAGCATTTAGGTTATAGTCCAGACACACTCAGAGAAAGAGAGAACAATCAACACATGGCCCCCATCAGACTCTGGTAGTACTGTCCCTCTAGGGAGTGTCCTCAGACCCAGGTCTACACTGAGCCTCTGTTGTAGGATCAGGATCTCACTCCTCCTCAGCTCAGCCAAGTCATGCCCGTGTGCAAAAGTCTAAGCAGACCCCTGTAGAGCCCAGCCCCTGCAAGGAGCCAAAGGCAGAGGGAAGATGGAGAACCAGTCAGCAAGAAAGCCACATGCTCTGTACCCGTCCATGGCCCAGAGCCTCTGGGGGCTGCAGAGGGCAGCTCCTGGGGCAGCAGGAAGAAGAGAAAGGCCAGGTCAGGGCTTGCTGGGCACTGAGGGCTGCTCTCACCGACTGGTCCGTGGTGAGGGGCGTGTAGCCAGTCATGAGGAAGTGGAGCCTCGGTGTGGGGATGAGTGAGGCGATGAGGCCGATGAGGTCATTGTTCATGTAGCCGGGATAGCGCAGGGTGGTGGTGCTGGCTGACATGATGGTGGACACCTGGGGACAGGAGTGCCATGTCATGGGCCTCAGCTGGGGTGGGGCCTTCCCTTCCCAGATGACCTTCTAGCAGGAAGGTCCAGGTGTAGGTGAGTAGAGCCTCACCAGCTGGTTGATCTGGGAGAAGGACGGGTTCTGGATGTGCAGGCGGTCTGTGGCAATCCGGTTCAGGGCCGTGTTGTCCAGCACCACCTGGGGGAACAGAAGAGGGTCATAGCACCTTTATGAGGAGAAAGGAGGCAAAGAAACAGGTTATTAGCTTAGCCCCCCGAACTCTGAAACCAGGAAGCAGGTTTGTTAATTTACAAGGAAAGCACTGTCTCTGGCACATCACAAGATACTTCTTTTTTTTATCATCCAGTGCAGTGAACAAATAGATGGGGCAAATGGTTAACATGCTTAGCTGTTAACCAGAAGGTTGGAAGTTTGAATCCACACAGAGGTGTTTCAGAAGAAAGTCCTGGAGTTCTATTTCTGAAAAATCAGCCATTGAAAATCCTATGCAGCATAGTTCTGCTCTGACACACAGGCGGTTGCCATGAATGAAGTCAACGCGAATGGTTTTATGGGTCAAGTACTATATCTGTCCTGGAGATACAGTGGAGTGCAAAACAGCTGTGGTCCTTCCCCTCCCCAGGCCTCTACTCTAGTGGAGGGAGACAGATAGAAAGTGTCAAACAGCAGATGTGTACAGTTACCACCTCAAATAGGCACAAAGCAATCTGCCCTTGGCTGGGTGGTTAGGAAAGGTTTTCCTACGAAAATGACCCTTGAGCTGAGACTTTAAGCATAAGCAGGCATTCAGCAGGCAAAGAGTGGAGGGCAGAGATTCACTGTGTTTAGAGTCTTGCTGCCTAAAGAGACTGAAACTAACTTGCCAGTTAGGACTTTATTTCATAATTCAGCCATGAACTATGGCTTTGTTGCTCCTCTGATTTCTGGGAAAGAGCTTGGGAAGAACAGGGCATATATGACTCACTTGTCTGGGGAGGGGGAACCAAAGCCCTGGCTTCCTTCTGTGCTCACCACACAGTCTGCATTCTGGGTCAGCCTCTTGAGTGTTAGCAGGGAGTTGTAGGGCTGCACCACCACGTCACTCATCTCATCCTGATTGGGAAACACTGAGTACGTCTGCACCAGCTTCTTGGGGTACCTGAGGGTATGGAAGAGGCTTGAGGGGGATGTGGCACAATAAAATGGAAGACGCCCCCATCACTACCCATCTGTCTTCCCTAGGGACAACAGGGGACAGTCCCTTCCAAGGACGTTCATCTCTTATAAAGGGGTAAGAACAGAACTGTCAGAAAGGATAAGCCTCAAGCATCAAACCCTGTAGAAGACCTCTGTCCTATATCTGGTGCGGCTACAACAGAAATACCACAAGTAGGTGGCTTTGACAAACAGAAATTTATTTTCTCACAGTTTATGAGGCCAGAAGTCTGAATTCAGAGTGCCGGCTCCAGGGGCAGGCTCTCTCTCTCTAGGCTCTGGAGGAAGGTCCTGTCTCCTCAGCTTCTGCTTCCTGGTTCCTTGGAGATGTCCATGTGTCTTGACATGTCTTAACCCATCTCTGCTTCTCTCTCTTTCTTGTTTGATTGCTTGTTTAATCTCTTTATATTTCAAAAGAGATTGACTAAAGACAAGCCCTACACTAATCCTGCCTCATTAACATAACAAAGACGACCCATTCCCAAATGAGATTATAACCACAGGCACAGAGGTTAGGATTCACAACACATAGTTTTGGGGGACATAACTTGAACCATAACAACCTCTAGCTAAACCCACACCCCCTGAGTTATTAATTCCAAGATGTTCCCTGGGTGGACAGGCTCTGTCACTATGACTAAAAAGGGGACGTTTTAGACCTTCTAGTTCATGAGGAAGTGACAACACTGAAGGACATTATCCAGGGAACCAGGCTAATGCCCTTGCCCCAAACCCAGGTTCACCTGTCATTCAGTCGTTCTAGGAGATAGGAGCCCAGGCCAGAACCCGTCCCCCCGGCGATGGAGTGACACAGCACGAAGCCCTGCGTGGGGAGGGGTGGAGAGCAGTCTCCAGGTGTCTGGAGGACATGTTTCACGGTCCCATTCCCTACTCCCAACACACACCCATGTCTTAAGGTTTCCTCTGTGTCCATCCAGGCTGAGGCTCTGGAAAGGGTCACAGCCCAGAGGTGAAA